TTCATTCCAAGGATCTGGAAGGAAGCTAGGCTGGCACAAACGCTGCCAATAAAAACCATGTGACCTAAAAGGTGAAAGAGTAGACACTATTAAAATACCTAACACAAAAGCAAATTCCTGCCTAGTGGTGTGTTATCAACAGCTGACAGGATTAGCCTGCTGCTTCCCCCCCAGGACGGGTTTGAGCGCAGACCAGCACACAGCTGGCCTGGGGAGCCGAGACAGACTGAACGGGAAGCCCATGGCCCCCACCCACAAAGCTCCCATTCTGCAGCTCCTCAGGTGGCCAGCTCTGAGACAGAGTGACCAGAACCAAGGGCTGTGACCCCAGCTCCTCAACACACACACATTCTCTCGCGCGATTACACACATATACACACACACTCACATACACAGGGTGTGGCACAAGTAACGCCTCTTTTTTATTACAAAACTTTTTATTAAAAAATCATAAGCATGTAATTCTGTAACATAACAATATCACACTCAAGCACACCATATGACATTTTAGGTGAAATTTCAAATTAAAACTATAAATTATCATACCCATATTATTACCCTGCCAACCATACTCAAGCAGGTGTTACTTCTGCTAAACCCTATATATTCCCTCTCTCTCCCCCACCCTTCCCCTAGAACCCCACTCCCTCCCTCGCAAACCCTGCTTCAGCAGGAGCCCTGTGGCCTGAATCTAAGCCAGTGCCAGGCTTCCTAGCCCCAGTGGCCGCCCCCAAGACCACAGGCTGGCCTCCTGCTCCTGCGCAGTGGTGGACCTCAGACCTGTTATCTCTCGGAGACTTCGAGGGCTGCCTCCCACTCCTCGCTCTGTGCCCCTCACGAGCTCCACTTCCGCGCCCTTCGTTCCTCCTTACTCAAGGGTCTTGTAGGAAAGCCATGTCACTGGCTTCGCTGGGAAGAGAAGACTTTAACTCTTGCATAAGGGCTGGGCTGTCAGATTTAGCAAAATCAAAAACAGACCACCCAGTTACATTTAAATTTCATTTAAACAACAAAGGATTGTTTCATACAAGTATGTTCCCATGCACGATTTTGGACCTACTTATACAAAACAACTTTTATTGTTTTCTGAAATGCAGTTGAACTCGGTGTCCTGTATTTTAACTGGTAAGCCTGTATGGTCGGCAGAGGTGTAGAACAGGAGGTTTCCAGAAGAACAAAGCAAGGTGGAGGGTCGGAGGAGACACAAAAAGGAATTGTGAGGATTAGGGGAGGGAGTGAGGAAAGACTCCTCACTAAGGGTCTCTTTTACGCCAGAAGCTTTCATTGTGCTATTACATTTGAGTTTTCTAGTGATTCTGTGCACTGCATATATTTATCCCCACTCACAGATTAAAAAACAGAGGGTCAGAGAATCAAGTGACTTGCAAAGCATCACATGGGTAACTCATGAAAGGCAGGACTATAATCCACAGTTTCTGCGTACAACCTGAGTGCTGTTTCTTCTACATAGAGCTGCTTTACTCTGTAATTTTTATAGGCTGTATATAAAGAGGGTCCGACAGCTTTCTTTAGTCTTCTAATACATTCGTAAGGAAGCAGATTCAAAACGGCACCCGGACTAGCACACATCTGCAAAACACAGCTGTCTGTTCACAGAGACCATGCTAGTCACTAGGCCACATTACCCCACCAACTGTATCACCAGTGAGGACCTGTTTGTGACCTACTTCCCTGACACGAGAAAGAGAAGAAGTTGAGAAAGGAAGGGCAATGTTTCATCCAAAATGACCAATTTTCAGATGAGAAAGGTCACAGGATATTTTACTCAACAGAATCTTAACCAGGATCCAAGAAGAAAAGGTTCCTCTATCACTACTCTAGCATCCCATGAGCCATCATTTTCCAGAAACACACAGTCAATTTGGTGCATATTTGGCAAAAAAAAAAAAAAAAAAAAGAGTAAAGAAAGCTGCTTGTCAAACGGACAGGGGGAAATACTTTCTCCCCCCAGCCCCCCTACAAGTTTGTAACATTAATGGCACACAATAGAGGGGAAACAGCCATAAAAATGACTTAATATGTGCCCTTTGGAAGTCAAGTAACTGTCAGACAAGTGACTATAAAAATAACACCACTGAGGAGATCCAAATTTATTTCTGCTTGGTGAATTTCCAGCTCGAAATGAGCTCAGTTAATCTGTCCAAGTTTTGCTTTCATGCTGTTTTGTTTTGTTTCTAAATTTTCCTTTCTTTTCATAGATGCTAGCAGATTCCCCTTAGGATAGGAAAAAAAAAACTTGCCCACCTCGCACGCCATCAGTTAGGGAGACCGCATAGCTGTCAGACAGCTGCCAGTTCCTCAAGGACAGCCTAGGGAGCGGCCAGCGCCTGCGGAGGTGGGCAGACGGCCGCGCAGGGGGTTTCCCACAAGTCCAAGAGACAGGCTGCGGCTCACGAGAAGGGCCCAGCTCGGTCTGTCCTTGCTTGGGTTCTGTTCACGTACTCCTTTCCATGCCCCCCTTTCTTCTCCCACCCCCTCCCCACAAATACACACGGGCTTCAAGGTGGCAGACGACTTAACACTTGGTCTTTCAGGTCACAGAGGAGTCTCCAGTTTTCTTTCGGAAGATGGCAAAAAGCCACACTCCATTCCCTGTCTGCCCCAGTCCTCACCAAACCATTCCCAGGACCAGAATATTCCATGGCCACTACCCAGAGGCAGGATGGTGCAGACCACTTCGGGCAGTCACTTGGAGACCTAACTAGGGGCCTTTAGAAACACTGCAGCTGCGGGAGGTCGGGGGGGGGGAGGATGGAAAGATGGAAGCACGTATACGTAAAGGGGGTTTTCATGTCTGTTGGTTCTGGGTGTGCAGGCCTAGCAGACTGCGCTCTTGGATTCCATGCAGCCCTGCAGCGGAAGGCGCATCTTTCTCATTGCTCATCATGATAACTAAAGACTGAAGGTGAGAAAAACTCAGTTTCATTTTGGATCTAAAATGTTTCAGAGACTGCTTTTGAAAAGGCCAGATGATTGAATCAATTTAATTTTCACAGTTTATAAGATCCCAGATCTACAGAAAACATAAATTCTGGCCAATTTAAATTGTGTGTGATGAGGTTTACATTTATGTTACATAAGAAGATTTCAAACCAGGGCTTGAAGGCATCATGACTCTAACTGCAAATGAATAATTTGCCTGGTTTAACTATTCCAGGGACACTGGACCCTACAGAGCAGTGAGAAGCTCATCAGCAGACAAGCAACTTCAGGACAGAGGAACGACAATGAGAAAATGGTGAGCATCGGGAGAGCTGGGACCCCCATCGCCAGAGCTGGGAGAGGCAGTGTGGAGCACACCTGTTCCCACTCTCAGGGAGGGGAGTCAGGGTCTCGGGCCTGGTGGCAGAGCTGGGACCAGCACAGAGGACTTTGGACTCCCAGTTCAGTGTTCCTTCCATCACCTCCTGCCAAGAAATCAAGAATCTCAGACATAAGATCCACCTTGTATGAAGTAAGGGAATGAGACAGGGAGGCTGCTGTGAGGTCAACGGCCAGTGTTTGCCCAAACCCCCTCCTGTCCACTCCCCAGAGGGGAGTAAGAGGCTCTACTTTATGACTCTGGAGCAACTTGTGAGAGAGTTTTGTCCAGGAGATCAGCCCACAAGGTCCAGGAGTTATCGGCTAGTTCAGAGGCCTTGCAGGAATTTCCTGTTATGTGATCTGGGTCTTGCAAATAGCCACAGCCAAGTTGAGGCTGTCGCCCCCTCCCCGCCCGCCCCCCCCCCCACCCCCCAGGAGAAATGCCTGCTGCTCTTGAGTCACTAGTTGCCGGTGCCCTGCAGTGCTCCGAAGACTGGGCCTAGCTCCAAGAATGTCCGAAGGGAGCCAGCATGAGGGTCTGCACTGAGAACAAAGAGCAGGCCAGCCCAGGGGACAGTGAAATCCCAGCTCCAGGCAGCTGGGCCCTGGGTCAGCTATGGCTCTGCCCAGAGAGAGAACAGACAGCAACATGGAACTCTCTGGACCCAGAGCCATAGGCTTTCTTGTTAATGAAAACCTATAGGTCCTTCCAACTTTCTTTGTTTCCAACTGTAAGACATACACTAACACAAGAGCATGTGTGCAAACATAGGCACAGCTACCCAGGTAGGGAACTAAAGCATTGCGGCACTCCAGGGGCAAGCCCCAGCCTTGCCCCTCCCCATCACTCTCCCATCCTGTCCAGAAGTAACCATCATTCTGGCTTTTGGGAATCATCATTTCCTGGTTGTCCTTAGAATACTTAGTACGTGTGTATGCATCTCTAAAGATTACAGTTTAGTTTTTGCCTCTCCGTGCACTATTAACTGTAGGTGTTCGCTCACTTTTGTTTTATATATTTAGTATTCAATTGCATGGATATACTCTATTTATTCATTCTGCTGTCTATGGACATTTCAATTGTTTTCAGTTTTTGGCAATGACCAACAACACTGCAGTGAATGTCCTTGAACATATCCCTTGGTTCTCGGGTGCTGGAGTGTCTCTTACGATGCACAGTTGGCAATAAAACACTGCATTGCCCAGAGTGCGCTTCTTCACCTCAACTAGGTAATGCCAATGTGTGTTCCCAAGTTGTGCTGCCTTTCCTCTTACGAAACACTGATAAACCCACCCTGCTCATAAGAGGAGCGGTCACCGGTGACTCAGAGGCCAAGAAAGCCTAGTTCATCGCCAGACTGGCAAGTTAAAGCTAGATCCTCATGCCTCCTCTGTAAGACAAAGCCCAAGATTTTAAAATTCTGAGCTTAACCAGATCTGACAACCAACATAGCTGAGCGTTCCACAAGAAAAATGTCACAAACTCCCTGAAAAGCATGAGATGTCATCTCCAGCTTCGGCGCAAACCCACCTGTCCATACTATTAGCTGTAAATAGAAGACATTAAGTGCAGAAAGATTCCATGCTGATAAATCCCAGTCGGCCATGAGCAGCAGGAGAGAGGGGAGCAAGGGGTGGGGAGGGGTCCTGGAAGCCCACCGACAGCTGCCACCTACCTGTATACCGGCTGCATCTCTCTTGCGATGCCAATGATGGCGCCGGGCAGGAAATTGTCAAACTCCTCAAACAATTCCCGGATGTTGGTCTTGTACTTTAGGTCTAGGTCCAGCTGAATTATCCGCAGGATCTCTGGAGGAAAGAAAAAGACAATAATAAGATACAGACACACATCCTGGGAGGCTCAGCTATTTATAGAGAATGAAGTGAAAGGTGCCGAAAGGGCACTGCATTATTTCTGTCACTGAAGACGCAAAGTTGCTGCTGGCAACCAAGGCCCTTCCTTTGCCAGCCACCCCCTCCCCCCCACAGCACACACACACACAAGACTAGATGTCTCCACAAACAAATGTCCTGTACCTTTCCTACCAATTGCAGCGCACTTTTTATTTAAATCCAGGCGACCATATGCCCCAGTTTAGGCCTACTGTCCTGGTGTAATTGTCAACAGCACACCATTCCATTCTCAAAAGTATCTGACACATTCTATGGACACCCTACTTAAAACTGAAAGCCTACAGGCATTGTTCTTTGCGGCACAGGTGGTGTATGACCCACAGGAGAGGGGTAAAAGCCATTATTGTCCTAAGCTCCATTAGTACCTTCTGGAAACCTAAACACATGTCAAGCTAGACAAACTGAGTCTCACAATTACCTGGCATGTAAGAGCTGTTTGCTTCTGTTGCCTGCACGTAACTCAGAAGCAAGAAGGGAGGAGGAAGGTGTTGGCCAAGTTCATTCTCTCAGCCTTCACCTGACCATGCCTGACTGAGCTCCTACGCTGTTGGTACCAGGAGAGGACAAGACATCAGGTTGACAGGGAACCTGCCCTCAGAGACAGGCAGGTGACTAAAACCAGGCAGGGGACATCTAGTCCTGACGTGAAATGGAAGAGAGACTGTGGGAGCTCCACAGAAGGGATGCTAGGGGGCAAATGATGAAGAGAGATCGTAAGTACTTGGTGTAAGGAGAAGGCCTGGAGGGGAATCAGACCACATGAGTGAAAGTTCCAGTTCAGCTGCTGATGAATGCTGTAACCCAGGGAAACTTCTTTGACTTCTCTAAATCTGAGTTGTTTCACGTCATCTACACAAGGCAGTGGAGCCTACAGGGATCCAGGGCTTGGAGTGTAGGAGACTTGCTGAGGCCTGAGGCAGCCTAGGAAGCCTTAACGAAAGAGGGTAGCGTGGGTCGGACCTTGATGAATGGGTAGGTGTGGAGAGGCAATGCAACGCCAACCCCAGCCGGAGCATCGGGGCTCTGGGCTTGGCTCCTCGCCAGCCTTTCTGTGCCTGCCCCGCCTGCGGCAGAGCTCTGGTGCTGCCTGAGGACAGGCTGCCCCTGGAAGCCCTCTGCAGACAGGGACCCTCTCAGTAGCATCTCAGCCTCCACCCATCCATCATTCAGTGCTTGGCACCCAAACACTGAGGAATGTTTGTAGAATTTAATTGCCATTCTCTAAATTAGTTTATGAAGAAATCAGTCTACTATTTAAGAAAAATTGATTCATTTGTTGCTTGTTCTATCTTCCTTTGTGACACGGAAGCAAAACATTAGTCGACATCCTACTTGAGTTTCCCGAAGGAAAAAAAATTACAGTAGGTAAGAACACAGCTATCCAGGCCAGAGGAAAGGCAGGGGGCACCAGAGACGGCTGTTCTGGCCCTCGTGGGGAGGGCTACAGGAAAGCAGCCACCAGGCCCTTGTGGGCCCTGCCGCCCGCCTGGCTTCACACCGCCCACCCCCATACAGAAACGTGAGTGGGAATGCTGCTTCCCCCCTGCACCAGAAACAATAACCACCTGGACATCAGGAACGGTGATGACCCTGGGGCCCCCTGTGGTGACTCTGCTGTCACCTGGAAAACTGCCCTAAACCAGGAGTGAAGACTAGAAATGGGCCACAGGGCAGAGCCTCCAGGAGCCTGCTGCTCTCAGACATGGCTTTAGGAATACAGGAACGGAATCCGAGGTGACCCTAGGGAAGAACCCTGTGTGCTGAGGGAGAATGATTGACCGGGAATCAGTCGTAGCCACCAAGAAGTCTTAATGGGGAGGCCCTGCAGCACCCACCCCCTCCAGCCATTTCTCTTCCTTCTTTTGGTCCATCTCCCGCACCCCCAGCTCCCACATGCAGCCCAGACACAAGGTACAGCAGGGACTTTCTGAACAGGGACGGAAAGCACCATCACCCCAAGCAGAGAAACCACATCATCACAGGTCCTGTTGATGAAGCCAGTGGGTGTGGGGGGTGGTTGGACACAGGGCATTTGGCCTAGACATGGGGAGGCCTCAAGAATGTTTGGTGGTAACTTTGTGGCACTGTCAAGATTAGGAGAAAAGGGTGAACCTCATTCTCAGGGCCCCAGGGAGTACTTCCAATAATATCAATCAGAGCCACATAGAGGCACCCTTCCTTTGAGCAGTTTTTAAGTGTTCACCATTGCACAAGCAATAGTTTATTTCTTATAACCACCCAACATGTTTAGATGAAGAAAGAGAGGCTTAGAATAGTTGAAAACAATAGCCCAAGGTCCATGAGACATAAGTGCTAGAGCTGGCATCTGATCCTAAGTCTGCTTTACATGAAAGCCCAACACACTCTTTCCACAGACCCTGACTCCCCCATCCCCCCACCTTCTGACCCGAGAAGAGCTCCAAGGAGACAGATTCTTGTTCCAATGCTGTCCCCACTGGGACTCCAGGGACATGCAGAAGTGCCAAACCCTTGATAGACAAAAAGTGGAGCAACAAGCTGGCCAAATGTGGAGTTTAAGGGAAGTCCTCTACATGAAATGCTAATTTCACTATAATTTAACAGCTAACAGTAGAGAGGCCATTCATTCGTTCAATCAGCCATTCTTCCTTGAAAGCCTACACGTGCTATGTGTTGCCCTGGTCTCTCTCCAAGTCATCCAAATCCTGCCTGTTCTGCAAGGAGCAGCCCACATGCCTCTTTCCCTGGCCTGCTTGGACAGGCTCTGCTGCCTCAGGTCACTGCTACCTATGTACCTGTCTCGTGGCACTTGCCAGACAGAATGCTCCTTGAGAAAGCGAGTGTACTGGGAAGGCAGAGATGAGGGATGTCGCAAGTCTCCTGAAGAGACACAGCTCCTTCATTTGGGCAGAGCCCTGGCCTTGCCTCAGTAGGCCCCTTGATAAATCTGAGCACTTTCCCTGTTCTCTGGGAACTGGCAGGGAGTGACGTGGGAGAGGTCCCCAGAGAGCAGCCCTGAGGTACACTAATTTGAGATGCTTGATTACATTTTTATAACTCCTCACCTGTAAAGCACCTTTCAGGAAGGGTTTGCTAAAAATGCTAACACCTTTTTTGAGAGGGACTTCACCAAACAGGGTTAACTGATCAGGAAGGAAAAAAGCAGCAGCTCCAGCACAAAGTGACCCCTTCACACCAAAGCGAAAAGACTGACCCAGCTGTCACCTTTCGGGCTAAGGCAGGAGGACCCGCCCTTCTATTCAGGGAGGCTGAAAGCCTCAAACGCCGCCTGCACTGTCATGTGGGCATCTGTCCAGACCGTTATCCTTTTATGTAATAATGAAATAAGATGCCAAGTTGTAAATATCACTGCCGAAAGGGGAAGATGCTTACTAGGAATGCTGCAGTTCATTAGGATAAGACATTTTTAAAGGGCCATGTTCCTCTGGCCTCTGGTCCTTCGTGTAGTCATGTCTCTGCAGGAACTACGTCTGAGGGGTTTATCCCTAATGCTGAAGGCTGCTGTGAGAATGAAACAAGACTGGTATGTGGAAATAGCCACACTGACGGCCCAGAGAGGATGCTGGTTGGAAGACAGCTGTGATGACAGCAGTAGAACTACTGAAATTTAAGGAATAAGTAAATGAGGTGATTGTCCCTGAAGCAAGGAGATGAAATCTATAAAGAACCTTTGAGGAAAAGGAAGACTAGACATCTACAGAACTCAAAGGAATGGTCAGCATCTAAGGCTGGTGGAATGTTCGCCATGCCAGAGTCCTGTGGGAAGACGACAAAAAGGCAGAGGACAGAATAATCTGGGATAACAGATCTGAAAGACGGCCTGATAAGAATCGGGCTCAATATACCCATTCTACAGATGGGGAAACCAAGGACCAAAGAAGTAGAGGGGCTTGTCAAGTGCAGCACGGTCAAGCTAAGTGGCAAAGTTGATCCCAGAATTCAGGTCTTCTGACTCCCTAGCTAATGCCCTTATGCTAATTAGCGTTCCTTTCCATCGTGCCCTCTCAATATGGGCCAGAAACTCCTAGAGAGTGGAAAACACTTGTAATAGCTCAAAGGGTCCTACACAAGACTTGCTGGCCCCCAGCACAACTAGTTCATGGAGGATCTGCATACCATCCCACAGAAATGTAAAGCTGAAGATTAATAAGTAGTAGCCAAAGAAAAGAAATAAGAGACCTCCATATCCACACATTTTATAGCCAGCTTTGGAAAATGAGAAAATTGTTCTCCATCTTCTCATATTAACATTAGGACAGATGTTAAAAACCAAACCAAATGAATGTTTACTTTCCTCCAAGCACATACCTTGAGCTGCACGAAATTCAAACGGAGGCAGGAACCTGACCCAACACCCAGGAGCCACCCTGGAGACAAAAGCTCAGTGCCTGGTGTGAGAGCCACAGCAAGCAGCAGTACAACGCTGTCCCGCCAACCTCTGCTAGTTAGACCTATTCATTGCTGAGAATGTATTTGCTGGTACCACCAATTAGTTGTATGAGGGTCCTTCCACCTAGCCCCTCATAAATGTTCTCATGCATGTGTTCAAATCACAAAAACAAGAACTGAAGTACCAGTGTGTACTTGTGGCATTTTCTCAGGGAGAAGGACACCTGCCACATGAGTCAGAAAAAGTCCTGTGTAGGCAGCTGGTGTTTGAGGAAAACCCTTATGCTGGGCATCCTCCTTGGATGAGCTCAACTGCTTGACGCAGGCCTCTTGGTAGATGATAGAAACCTACGAGAGCTTCCAGCATCCCTACCTCGTGGGTCAGAAGCTGGAGCTTTAAACACTGGTTTCCACAGAGGATGAGTGTTTGCAACAGATCAGGCAGGCTGGGCTGACCTATTTCAGAAAATAAATGAATTGCTGCCTCCAGGTGCAGACAGTGGTTC